CAGAAGAGGCTTTCTGGAATCCTCGAGCATAGGCCTTATGGGAACCAAAGTATCTGTCTCCTTCTTCAAGGAATGCCGGCTCTTGGGATTCTCCCTTTTGGAAGCCAGCCACCATGATGTGGACAGCCATCCGAGGGAGAACCTAGTCACTCCAATTATCAGCTCTAGCTGAGCTCTCAGCCAGAGTCATCGCTGAGCCACGCGAGTGAGCCCTCTTGATTTCTGGCCCAATTAGGCTCCTGCATGACTAAAGCTCTGGTTGAAATGATAGGGAGTAGAAACCACCACTCAGCTAAACCCAATTAGCCCACAGAGTCACAAGAGATAATTAAATAGTTGTTTCAAGTCACTAAGTTTTGCATAGTTTGTTATGCAGCAATAGGTAAACTAAAGCAGAGCAAACACAATTAGCAGAAAATAACTTTATCAATAAGCTTAACATGATATATAACTTCTCAAAAGCGTATTCTCATAAGTATATAATCTGAACTATTATATTAGTTTACAGAAACCTTAGCAAATACAAAAAAACAAAAAATATTTCAGGTACCCAAAGTAACCTATGAGTTAAAAATAATACAGAAAAATAAAGTCCTTCCCATTAAGCACATTCACTACTAGCAAGTTCATAGAGCAACTGCCCGGCAACACCAAACATGAATCATCTTTCCTCAAAAATGTTTTTCACCCTCATTTCATTTCTACTGATGACCCCATTCTTCTAGTGACTCACATCTGAACTTCAGCCAACTTTGATTTTTCTCTCTCTTACTCAAAACATGTATGAATTACTGGGTACTCAAGATTTTATTCCAGCCAATGCCACTGATACTTCTTCCCAATCTTACTGCTACAAACCTACTCCAACTCTATTTTTAAAATCTTGCCTTGAATTTTACTGCAGCCTCCTAATTAGTTTCTTGCCTACAGTCTTTCTCGGCTCTAATGCAGAGTATAGACTTTAAACACTGCTTATATATTAACAAAATCTATTATGAGCAGTACAAACCTGTAAAGTCTGCTGCCTCAAGAGTTAGTTACCAACCATTTATCTAGCATTAAAGTCATGTCACAGCAGTCCCAAAGAGCTTTCCCACTTGTACTCAAACTGGACTGCACCCCTTCTTGAAAATTAACTTTCAACCATGCTGTTCATTCCTTTTGGCATTCAACTCTCAAACATCTTAAAATTCAAAACTCCTCTCCAATTCTACCTGTTCTGTGAAGTCCTTTCTGGTTTACTCAACCTTCCTATGAATGTTCTATATCACTTCTTATAATCTAGCACTTAGAACATTCTGCTTCATATACTAGTCATCTGTGGGTGTTTCTCTCCCCCATCCTCCCGACTGTAAATGCCTTAGGGGTAGCTGGTACATCCAACATAATACATAGAAGAACAAAACCAGTCATACGTTTATGAACTACTACATACACTGTACAAAATTTAAGTCATTTTTTTTTATATATGGGAAGAGGGAAAAATGGCACTAGATATTACGTGTCAATAAAACACTTCTTTTAATTTATACCATAAAACTGGCAAGAAGGAAAGAAATAATGTGGAAGCAATAGGAACAATCATTCATCTATGAAGGGTACTAATTAGTCATCTAAATAAGAGTCACGAATTACTTAAAAAAAAAAAAAAGATTCTAAGTATCAGAATGTGAATAGATAATCTTTGACCTCTGGTGTGCAATATAGCATCATGGTTTGTTAAATTTAATAAGCAGATTCTAAAGTCAGACCTGTGTTTGAATCTCAGCTCTCCTACCTTATAACCTCTCCTACCTTGTCCATGGGTTTGGACAAGTTACTATGTCTCTATGCCCTATTATTCAATAAGTATTTATTAAATAATACTATGTTCTAGGCACTGGGGATATTAAAAAGAATAAAACAAAGTTCCTGACCTCAGGAACTTACATTCTAGTGGGGAAGACAGATAATAAACATATAATGAAGTTGTAAAGTTATAAAAAGTGTAAAAAAAAAAAGGGATGAGATAGAGTGAGCAGAAATGCTGGTTAGATAGAGCCTGTGGAGGAGACCTCTTTGAAGAGCTGGTTTGGGTAGAAAGAGACCTGAATAAAGCAAAGGAAAAAGCCACATGGATATCAAGAAAAGAGTGTTCTGGGACCGAGGGAGAAGCATGCCTGGCGTGTGTTGAGAGAACAATGAGGCCCATGAGGCTGGAGTGGCATGAATGGGAAGAGATGAGGAATCCATTTTGGGGTCTGTAGGCCAAAGTAAATAGTTAAGTCTTTTTCCTAGTGTGATAGGAATCTGTTAAAGGCTTCCAGCAGAGAAGAGACCTGGTCTAACTTAGACAGCAAAAGGTACACCCAGACTGCTGGTCAGGGCCTTAAGTTTAAGAAGGAAAGCAAGGAAACCCAACTGGAAGTCTATTGCAGCAGTCTAGGAAAGAGGATGGTGACTTGGGCTCAAGTGTCAGCAAAGTGCGGTGAATTTAGAGTGTATTTTTAACGACAGAGAAAAAGAGTATGCTGATGGATTATATGGGGATTGCAAACTCTCATTGGAGGTGTGGTCCAATTAACCTGGATAATTCATATACAGTGAGAAATAGTTAAAGAGAGAAGGTATAATCCCTCAAGGAATTCAAACTAATAATAGCCCTAAATATCAGATATTATCTGGTACATTTAAACAACTTATACTACAAATGTAAATGATTCATAGCTGAGTAATAGTTTTTTCCTTCATTAATACTCTTGAATAGACATAATCATTTTATCTAGGAGTGTAACACCAAAAAATCATAACCTATGAATTAAAAAGTTCAATTTAGGAGTTCCTGGAAGTACAATTCACAAAAGCGGGAGGCCCTCCAAATGACTGGGGCCCTGAGACTTTAACTTTCAAGACTTGTCCACACTGAACCTCCAGCAATTTGTCTATTACAGTATGTTTTCCTACCCCTGGCACTGGTTTTTGCAGTTTCTATTCCATTAGGTTGTGATTCTCTGTAGTCAACTATCTCTCTAATTTTGGGAGCAGCAGTATGCCTGTCACCTGACTTCTAACAATCCAAGAAGAGTTGTTGATTTTTCACCTTGTTCAGCTTTTTGCTTGTTTTTAGCATGAAGTGATGACTTCCAACTTCCATACATAGTGGATTGGAAACTGGAAGTCTATCACTTTCTATAATTTTCTTTTAAGCATCTTTTGTTAGATTTATTACAAGGTACTTTTTAATTTCTTTCTGAATGTTGCAAATGATAATCTTTAAAAATTTTTTTTCTATTGATTTTAGAGAAAGGGGGAGAAAGAGAAAGAGAAACATCAATCGGTTGCCTCCCGTACACGCCTGACTGGGGACTGAAAATGTGATCTAGGTATGTGTCCTGACCAGGAATTGAGCCCACCACCTTTTGGTGTACGGGATGATGCTCCAACCAACTGAGCCACACAGGTCAGGACTGCAAATGGCATCTTTTAAAAAATATATTTCAACTCTGTGTCTGAATATAGGAAAACAATTGAATCACCTTGCTAAACTCTCATACTAATTCTAGTATTGTTTGTAAATTATCTTGTCTTTTTCTGTCTTGTGGTGTTATCTTTGTAAATTTTAACAATCCTGTAACTTGTGAATGACCACACGGAAGTGATTAGTAGGCTGAAGAACAGCCCCCCAAAGTTGTCCACATTCTAGTTCCTGAAACCTGTGAATGTTATCTTATATGACAAAACAGACTTGGTAGATATGACTAAATTAAGAATCTTGAGGTGAGGAGTTTCCTAGATTATCCACATGGACCCACTGTAATCACAAAGTCTTTATAGTAGGGAGTCAGAAAAGATAACATGATGATGGCAGCAAAAAAAGAAGTAACAACAGAAGCAGAGGTTGGCATGATGTGCTTTGAAGATGGAGGCAGAACTCACAAGCCAACTGGAATGTGAGCAACCTCTAGAAGCTGGAAAAGACAAGAAAACAGATTCTCCCCAAGAGCTTCCAGAAGGAACACGGCCCTGCCTTTTTAGTCCTACAACATTAATTTTGGATTTCTGCTCTCCAGAACTATAAGATTAAATAAATTTGTGTTGTTTTAAATACACCCCCCCAAATAAAAAGGTTCTATTTTTAAAACCCTATAATTTAATATAATTCCATATCAGGCTATCTTACTCAAATAAACATGATTGAGTGTAAGTGAATAAAACGAGTTATGAAAGACTAAATCAAAGTATACTAACTCTGAGCAAAGCCAGATAAGGGTGTTGCTTACTATCTCTGTGTGTTCCCCCTACCTCCCAGGAACCCTCAAAAACAACAGATAAACTGGAGACAGATGGCACAGAGCAGTCAATGGGCATCTCGCAACCCCTTGTATTCTCTTTCTTTCTTATCTCAGCCCTTTCTTAGAGGATTTTCTATGGACCTGGGTGACTCCTGACCTAAAATACCATAGTTTTGACTCTGCTGGGAAGTGTGTTATAAGTTATTCGTCTAAAAACAGTTTATTATCTAAAATAGGAAAGAACATTGGACAAAGAAACAGGATTACGGTGTATCTAAAAATTCTAATTCTTATTCTTAGTGTAACTATATATACATTGGAAGATTAACGGGTTTTTAAGACTAAGAAAATATTTGCGGTGTTGTTTTTGTAAATTTTCATAATATCTTCCCTCTACAACCATTCTAAAACACTGTGTATCTAACTTCGAAGAAATGGCACCTAGTGAAGAACAACACTTGGTCTGTGTTCTATCGGCTGGGGTGGGTGGGGAGGTTAAATTACAATGGCAGCGGCTACCATCTCAGGTGCAAAGGGGAAGGAGAAATGCAGGTGGGGGGAAGACCGTGACCGGCTGGCGGACGCGGGCCTTGGACAGCCGGGAGAGCGGGGGGTGGTTCAGGGCGGCGTCGTCCCCGGCTCCCCGAGGCCGGAGGCGGGCCAGGCGCCGCAGCCCGCCCCTCCCCACCGAGGCTGGCTGAGGGCCGGGCGGGGCTGCCACTCACTCACCTGGTTGGTGACCTGAAACGGAAGCAGAAAAAACACAATTTAGGAAACGATCTTTCTCGCACCAGAAGCCCGCTTCTTCTAGGCCAGGACTTACCTTGGCCTTAGCATCCAGAACCGGCTCGTTAGACGCGTCCATGGAAAGTTATCCAGGGATCGCACCACCGACTCAGGTGGCCGCTCCCGCAACCACAACACTTCCGCTTCCTCTGCCCGGCCCGGCGGCCTGGCGCACGCAGCGGACGTGGGGGCGCAGGAAAGAAACATCTTTGTGTAAGTCACCCAGGATATCAATTAAATATCAATTTTAAGGATCCATGCAGAGAAAAATTAACTACTGTAGAATATAGTTCCTAATATTTAGGATATGTCCTGCCAGGGAAGGACCTGTTAACTTTAGGATGCCGGTTCCCCCTACTAACCCTGGAGGAGTGGACTCTTCCTTTCTGCCCCCCCCCCCGGCGCCCATTGCGCGAGCGCGGACTTGTGGCGGCGCGAGTAGTTGATCCTAATTAAATTTAAAAGCGGCTGGAAAACCACACCCCCTTCCCCGTAGAAGTTTGTCTAGCGAGGGAGCAGCTGTGGGAACCGTAGTTGCACGATCAGCTTTCGTCGCTCGGATTTACCGCGCGGGCCCCGCCGGTGGTGGGTGAGCTGTTTTCTTGGTCCCGCTGCCCCTCCAGCCCTCAGCCTGACTGCAGCCATAGCGTCCCCTCCGGCCTCCCCTTTCCTTCCTACTCATCTCAAAGCCATTCTACAGAGTATCCAAAGAGACTTTTTTTCCCCGCCAACTTTTTATTTTGAAAAAGTTGGTTTTTTAATCAGAAAAGTTGCAAAAATAGTTTAATTAACATAGGTATCCGCTTCCTCTAGCTTCACCGACTTAACATTTTTACGCGTTCGCTTTAACCCTAGCTACCTACATAGTAATGATGACGCTTGAGCAGGTACCTCCTAAGAACGAAGGCATTCTCCTAAAAAATTCACAACTGTCACACGCAGGACATTTAAAATTGATAAAATACTATTATCTAACACATGGGCCAGACCAAACGCCCTCAGCTGTCTCCCCAGTATTCCGGAAAACCGTTCCCTCTCCTACCCGCCCGCGGGATCGAATGGAGGAACTTGGCTGCGGTGCCTCCTTTGTCTTCTCTAATCTCACCGCGCTGGCAGAATGGCCGGGCTGCCTCGGTTGCCCCCCGGGGCGGGGGTGGGGCAGAGGTGGGGAGCGAGGGGGGCCACTTTCGGGCTGCTGGCAGAACTCAGTTCTGTGCAGTTGCCATTTCCTTGCGGGCTTTCCAATGGGGGTTCTCGGCTTTGGAGGCCCTGGCATTTCCGGCCCACTTCCTCCTCGGTCAAAGCCAGGAATGGCAGGGCAAGCCCTCCTCACACTTTCAAGCCCTCCTCACACTTTCAATCCCTCTGACTTCCCATTCCGAATCCTCTTTCTTTCACCACTTTGCTCTGACTCCAGCTTGGGAAGGTACTGGGTTGTTGTTTTTTGTTCGTTTGTTTTAATATGTCTTTATTGATTTCAAAGCGAGGAAAGGAAAGGGAGGGAGAGAGAGAGAGAGAGACATCAATGATGAGTCATTGATGCCTGCCTCCTGCACGCCCCTCACTGGGGATGGAGCTCACAACCCCGGCATGTGCCCTGACGGGGAATCGAACCGTGATCTCCTGGATCACAGGTCGATGTGCAACCACTGAGCCACACCGGCCGGGCAAAGTTACAGGTTTTTAATGTCTCAAATAATGACATCGGATTTACCCAGGACACTGTGGTGTATCCTTCTGGTCAGTGCATCAATTTCATTAGTCAGGGAATATTTCTATAACCCTTGGCTACCCTCAGATTATGATCCATGGTGGAAACTATGCTCCATGGAAGGCTGTATGTGCACACACACAGGCACACATGTATGCACACATATATGTAAATCTTAACTATATAAAAATGCTACCAAAAGATGAAAAGAAATATATTTAAAAGTTAATTTTTTCTATTTTTATGCATTCCTTTTAAAACTTTTTTTTTTAATTGGGCTTTTTTTTTTTTTAATCTATTTCTAAAAATCTATTGATCTAATTTGGGGAGAGTAAAATGTCAGTTGTGTGTAGCCCAATTTCTGCTAATTGTTACTCTTGTTCTTGTGCTCCTGACACTCTAGCAACACATGTGATCAACTGTTTATTTTTAAGACCTCCATCTTACAAAAGATCAGAATTTATGCAAGCTTAAGACTTAGAAAATATAGATTTTATGAATAATCAAGAAAAATGCTAAAATTAAAGATGGGTAGGCATAACTTTTGTTTTATTTATATTTTTATTGTATGATATGTACATAAAATGCATAAATTAGAAAATACTTTTTTTAAAGAATTTTTAATTTTCAGAGAGAGGAGAAGGGAGAGAGAGAGAGAAACATTGATACGAGAACTCAAGATCCATCAGCTGCCTCCTGTAAGCCCCTCACCAGGATCCAGCCCGCAACCCCCGGTGCATGGGATGACACCCAACCACCTGAGCCACATTGGCCAGGGCTATCAGAAAATACTTTTGAAGCTGTTACAATAAGCCCAGTACTGTCAGATGTGTAGGAGGATGTCCACAGAACTATGGCAAGAACTCTGATTTCACAAGAGTTACAGTGTAACTAAGAAAACAAAATTGGCACACATGAAGCAAGAAATACTTTAAGCTTGTATTTTTGGGTTTTTGGGTAACAAATAATATAAATCCAGCTCAAACTAGAAATTATTGTCTTACAGGGGTGGCCTCTGAAATGTAGGGCTGGAGCAAAAGGGTCTGATCTCTGTTTCCCAGTTGTATGGCCTTCTGTTTGCTGACTTCATTCTCTTAGGCTTCTCCATAGGTTATGGGTGAGAGGTATGTGCCTATACCTATATGACCACCAGCATCTCTGGGGTCACAGCCTATGGCTCATGATCCAAGGGGAAAGACAAAGCTGCTCTTCTGTCTTGGTTCTCAGACAGGGACTCTGATTCCCCTGCTTGGGTCATATGTTGTCTAGGGTGATGCATTAATATTTTTTCCCTGTGCTCCCTGTTGTGGTCACAAGAGGTAGAATTGTGTGATTGGCAAAGTCACTAGCAGCAAAAGGAGTGAAAAAAATGTACCCTATAGAAGATAGAGGTGAGGGTGATGCAACAAAACTTGGGTGAAAAGATTCTGGGAAAACAAAAACAATAGCTGTCCACTAAACACATTATTTACTATACTATACTATACTATACTATACTATACTATACTATACTATACTATACTATACTATACTATACTATACTAACCATACCACACCATACCATCAGTGGGGGTAGTATGCAGAATAATGGCCCCCCCAAACATGTCAACTTCCAAGTCCCCAGAATCTCTGAATATGTTGGGTTACATGACAAGGGAAGATTAAGGTTGCAGATGGAATTAAGTATGTTAACCAGTGGACCTTAAAATAAGATGTTCCTGCATTACCCAGATGAGCCCAATGTAATTGCAAGAGTCCTTAAATGTGGAAGATGGCAGCAGAGGAGTCAGAGTCAAAGAGAAACTGTCAGTGATGCGATGTGAGGAAGACTCAGTTGGCTGTTGCTGGCTTTGAAGACGGAAGGTGGCCAACAGTCAAAGAGGTCAGGTGGCCTCTGGAAGCTGGAAAAGGAAAGAAAATGGATTCTCCCATACAGCTTCCAGACAGAACATAGCCCTACCAACACCTTGATTTTAGCCCAGTGAGACCCATATCAGACATCTGACCTTGAGACTCTAAGAATAAATTTGTGATGTGTTGAGCCACAAAGTTTGTAGTAATTTGTTCCAGCAACAGTAGGAAACTATGACAGTAGGGGATAACATGATGTGCTGGAAGCTTTCGAGTCACACAGGCCTGAATTGAAATCTCTCTTCTACCCTTCAGCTGTGTGACTTCAGTAAAGGTAGCCTTTCTGAATTGCAGCTTTCTAATCTGTAAAAATGAGGCTATTAATATTTGTCTCACAAGGTTTTTATTAAAGGTTAAATGAGATCACATTTAAAAAGCACATAACAAAATTCCTGAACATACTAAGTACTCTGTAAATACTAGCTCCTATTATTATCATCATGATATTCAGTCCTCTAAAAAAACCTCTGCTCTGGCTGGTGTCGCACAGTGGTTACAGTGTCGGCCCGAGCACCAGAGGGTGGCAGGTTCAATTCCTGGTCAAGGGCACATAGCTGGGTTTGCAGGTGGGATCCCTGGCATGATCAGGGCACCTGTGGAAGACAACCAATTGATGTGGCTCTCTTACACCAAAGTTTCTCTCTCTTGCTCTCTCCCTCCCTTCCACTCTCCACTCTATCTAAAACCAATTGGGCCTGGCGGGGTGTGGCTCAGCAGTTGAGCATTGACCTAAGAACCAGGAGATCCTGGTTCGATTCCCAGTCAGGGCACATGCCCGGGTTGCAGGCTTGATCCCCAGTAGGGGGTGTGTAGAAGGCAGCCGATCAGTGACTCTCTCATTGATTTTTCTGTCTCTCTCTCTCCCTCTCCTTTCCTCTCTCTGAAATCAATAAAGATATATATATATTTAAAAATCTAAGCATAGAAAATATTAAAAAATAATAATAAAATAAAATCATTTGGGGGGTGGGTGGGGGGAAGAGATTAACCAAAGAATTTATATGCATACATGCATAACCTGTACACAGACAATAGTGTGGTGAAGACCTGGGGAGTGGGCAGGAGTGAGGA